TCCTGAATTACCAAGTGAGATTGTGGAGATCGTAGGAAAGACTTACGGCTTTGGGATATCTGGAGATGATGAAAACAATGTTTGTGGAGCAGAAACGTTTGAAGCCTTGAAAGTTTGGAATCTTGATAACATTCTAAGGAAGAGAATCAAGTCATTGCACCAGTTATCTACGAAGAAACAAAGCAGTATCAGAGGAATTGAAAAAAATGTCTAATTATGAAGCCAAAGACAAGAAGAGCGGCTAATTCTATCCCGAAGACAAGATCATCATCAGTTTTTTTTTTATGTTTTACTTATGCTATGGTTTTACGAATTGAATAATGTTGTTTATGATTTCTTTCTACTTTGGTTTTTTGTGGCTTTTATGAACGCATCAATAAAGTTTTCGATCGAACTACCAATACTTAAATCAAACTCCGGTTTCTACCAATAAAGCTGAAATCTGGTCAATTGTAACGAACATAGTATAATATATATCAGGAGATGACTCAAACAACTATCTCAATCAGTAATTGGATTCATAGACCATTTGTTGAGACTATAAAATAGAAAATAATTATACTTATTTGATTCTACAACTTGGGTAAAAGCTTATATTCTGGAAACGGACTCATCAACGAAACGGGCGATGTGGCTGAGAATTAGATTCTGGAACTTGGGGAAAATCTTATTACTCCTTTTGATTTTTTGTTCTATCTTCACATTCCAAACAAATAAAGGTCAGCGAAATTCTAATCAGAAAGAATTATTGAGAAAAGGATTAGGTCATTGTCGGCAGAATTTGTGTCTTTTGACTTTATCAGAATCCGATTTTTTTTTTAAATTAATATTGAAGGGTCAGTTTTTTTAGTCAATATACTTTGGGCCCGTTTATAGTATCTCGCAGGCCCAACTATTTTTGCACCAAATCGATAGCATTGGTATATATTTGAACCAATTTTAATATATACTAAATCAATGTACCTAAAAACCCTAATAACTCGACGTGAAGCATTATTTAAGCCGCTTTAACAGAAAGTTCTTCTTTACAAAAACTTTTCACAGAGACAAAACCGGGAAATATGACCAACTAAGTTCCTTCGAATTCATTGCAATAACAATGTCCAACTCAGGAAAAGGTATAATAATTTTATTATTGTTTGGCCCGCAGACTTTAATTACATCTTCAAAATCTTATTGTGTTTGAAAATATGTTTCATGGATCAACAGTCAAACATTTTGTCCATCTTGATGATCAAGATAAATCCAAATTTTTGGTATGGATGGAAAATAACAAATTACGTGTTGATGTAGAAGATTTTGGGAATTCAGATCGCAGTGCCAAAGCAAATTTTGTTTGGAATCCAATTTCTAAAACGTGGGAATCATAATTTGAGATTTGAACCATATTATCATTGTACCAATTGGTTTTCTTATTCTTTTTTATTTCATCTTTTACTTTTTTATCAATAAAAATAAAACCATTTAATTATTCAAAATGAATCAAAATCATATGATTTTGTTATCCACTTATAGTTAAAATAAATTTTTATTCAAAAAAAATGTTCAAAAAACAAAAAGTAAAAACAACAAAAAAATAGAAAAATTGTTCAAAAAAACAAAAAGTAAAAACAACAAAAAAATAGAAAACAATTGTTCAAAAAAACAAAAAAGTAAAAACAACAAAAAAATACCCGCGCTTTTTAAGCGCGGGTCAAAATCTAGTATTATATTATACCCGCATACTGTAGCATATATGTCCACATTTATATTAAACCGTATATAAGTGTTAGTCAAAACCATAAAAACATGAAAATAAACAAAATTAAGTAAAATCATGGAGAATGTGAAAAATAAGCTAAATCAATTTTAAAATAATAATATAGATATAAATATGTGTTTTGGTGGATAATGAAATATGTAAAGCTATATTTAAAATTTAGTTCAATGTATAGATACATATAATAAAGTTTTTTAAATTACTGAACATGGAGAATGTGACAAATAAGAAAACTTAATTTTCAATAATAGTATATATAAAGATGTTTTTTGGTGGATAATGAAATATATAAAGCTATATTTAAAATTTATTTCAATGTATAGATAAATCTAATAAAGTTGTTAAATTACTGAACATATTTGAAATTTAATAATACTTTAATAAGTTTTTTTAATTAAAACCAACAAAATCAAAACATATTAAGCTTTCTTTTTAAGAAGAAATAAAATAGTGTAACATTATTATTTTGGAAAATGAAAGTAATTGTTTTTAATTTAAACTAATTTAAATACAATCAGATTAGAATATTAAACAAATAAAAAATTACAAATTATTACTTTATAGCTTAGTAATACTATTGAGCTTTAAGACAAAATATAATAAACTAATCGAACTCCACCTTTCTCCTTCACTAAGCGACCCTCCGTGTTCTCATCTTCGTCGGCGCGTGACTTCTGAACGTATTTGAAATTTAATAATATTTTAATATGTTAAGTATTTTTAATTAAAACCAACAAAATAAAATACATTAAGTTTTATTTTTAAGAAGAAATAAGATAATGTAACATTATTATTTTGGAAAATAAAAAGTAATTTTGTTAATTTAATCTAATTTAAATACAAACATATTATAAAACTATACTAAATAAAAAGTTACAAATGATTACTTCAGAGGCATAGTCTAATAATACTATTGAGCTTAATACAAAATATAATAAACTAATCGAACTCCACCTTTCTCTCTCAGTAAAGCGAACTTCCGTGTTCTTAGAACACCCGCAATGAGAGTCTTTAAGGGGAAATTCTTAGGGAAAAATAATTAAAGAATCAGTGGACCCTACCGAAAGTTAAGGATTCAATCCTTAAAATCCCTAATTAAGGACTCTTTCTTAGTAAATCTTATCACTATTTGCGGGTCCCCACGACAAGTGGCAACCCACGATTGATTGATTTTTTATTTTATATCTCAAAAAGAAAAAAAATAATAATTAAAAAATCAAAATGTAAGGACTCCGGTGGATAACACCATTGTCGATGCTCTTAGCTTCGCTGGCGCATGACTCCTTGTCCGAGCCGGACAATCTCTCTCTTCCTTTCTTCCTTTTCTATTTGCTCACCTCCCTCTCCTCTCTGTTGGCGTTGATATATCAGAAGCTCTGGTGGTGGCCACCTTGCCGGAATCCTAGATCTGCTCCGGGAGGTGATAACTCTGGCGGCCGGAGGCTCTCCTCTGGTGCTTCTATGAGACGTCACAGGTTCTGACGGGGATGGGTTGGCGTTTAGAGTTTGTCTTTGACAAATCTGATTTTCTCTTTTCTAGATGTGTTTGGAGGCATGGTGGTGCCGGCGAGTGAGGGCTGGTTGGGCTCGCTCCTCTGTTCTTCTCAGTGGTTCGTTGCAACAATGGTCATTGTGGAGCGGAGCGTAAGGTTTCCGAGTTTTGAAGCTTGGCGTCTTGTTTCGAACCTCTGTTTTGCTTGCGTTCACCGGAGGCGCCAATGGTTACAATCGGCGCGTACTTAGCAGTTTTGTGGTCGTGTGGTGGTGGTCTATGAGGTGGTTACGTGTGTAGCTTAAGGTTTTGGTGGTTGCTTTGTCGTCTATGGTAGATGCAGCTTTCTATCGGCGACTACTCTCCGGTTGTCTAGCCATACTCACCTTCTAAGACAAGGTTGTCTCTCGAGTAAGTGTGTGTGGCCTTGAGTTTAGCTTCATGTTCGCTTTGCCGACTTGCTTTCACATCTCTAGCGAGACTGAGTTTACGACCGTAAAAAGGATCAGATGTGGTTCTCCTATTTGGGCCAGGACATCGTCTAACTAGTCTGTTAAGTCAGTCGAGTGGCTGTGCGGCGAAGAGACCTAGTGGAAGATCAACCATCTGAGTGTTTTGACGATTACTTGGCTGTTGAGCAAATTGATTTTCTCCTATTTTGCAGGACTTAGATCACTTAAGGAATTGCTTTCACCGCGACTCGTTTTTTCGGGTTGTGTTTCATTTGGTGATCCTCCGGATCAACGTGTGTACTCAATCATCAGCCAAAGGATTCTCGAGGCTCTGGTACGTAGCATCGCAGCCTCTCATTCTCTTGGTCGTAGCCTTTAATGTCAGTACGAAAGCAAACTTGAAGAGATCATTAGTGACTAGTTACTTCACACGAAAAGATCGGCATCCATGTAACGAGATAAATGTCAATGATTATCATCGATGGTTGAAAATATTTTAAGGATAACGGAATGCTCTGGCAGAATGTGTCGGTTTGGTGGGTGAAGAAATCTAGTGTTGTGATGGTCGATTTAGAAACTTTTATTCAAATCAAACTTGTAATCAACCCTTGAATTTCCATTTTTCAGATTGATTAAATGGAAGTAATTTAAAAAAAAAAAATTTAACCACGAAAAGAAGAGATATAATGAAAATATTATTTTATTATGTATATTAAAAGTTATTATTTTGCACATAACGTAGAAACCCATATAGTAAGTCTGTAACTGAAAAGGTAAAAACCTTTTACCATCTGTATTTAACTTGTACAATAGAACCTCTATAAATTAATAATCGATAAATTAATATATACTAAAAATCTCTATAAATTAATATAATTTTATAGTCCCAAAATGAGTTTTTGGTTTACTTAGTATATCGCTAAATTAATAATTTTTATAAATTTATAAAAAATTATGATTTTGATGTAGTCCCAACATTATTAATTTATAGAGATTTAAGTGTAATTAGCATTTATAGAGAGTAGTACTATTGTTAGGCGAGAGAAAAGAAAAAAAGAAAAAGAGAAAGGGCATTTGTTGACCGACCCATGTGAAACTGAGACTCTCTCTCTCTATTTAATTTTTGCCGACAGAGAAACGGTCACTTTGCTTTGCTTCACTCGACACATGCATATGTCACTCTTAACTCTCCAACTCTTTCCCCGCAATTCATGCTCCATTTCCTTTAACCTCTCAACAAATTTTTTCTCATTTTCCCGAAATTTTATAATTTTTTTTTTTTTATTTTTTGGATTTGATGAAGCCGAAGAATTATTCTCCGATGGAGAAACCCATCTCCGTCGTGACTGGGAAATTCCGAAGCGGCAACAACCATAGTAACGTCTGGTTCGTTGTCCCTCTCTTCATTATTCTCTGTTTCATTCTCCTCTGTTTCGACTACTCTGCTCTCTACATCACCGACACGGAGGATGCCGCTTACTCCTCTTCCGACACAACCCAGAAATCAGTTTCTCGTGAATCCACGAAAGAAGTAAACTTTTCTCGATTACTGGACGACCCACTTCCTGATTCCTGCTCCGGTCGGTACATCTATCTCCACGATCTTCCTGGTAGATTCAATAGTGATCTGCTTCAGAGTTGCAGTTTGATTACCAGAGGAACCGAGAATAACATATGTCCGTATCTCAAAAACTTTGGTTTCGGTCCTGAGATTCAGGATCCCGACAATGTGCTGTTGAAAGAGAGCTGGTTTTCGACGAATCAGTTTATGCTCGAAGTGATTTTCCACAACAAGATGAAGAAATACACTTGTTTGACTGCTAATTCGTCTCTAGCGTCTGCGGTTTTCATTCCCTTTTACGCAGGTATCGATATGAGCAGGTATCTCTGGGGTTTCAACATCTCTGTAAGAGATTCTTCGTCACACGAGCTGATGGATTGGCTTGTGAAACAGAGAGAGTGGAGTCGGATGTCCGGAAGAGACCACTTCTTTGTTGCAGGAAGGATTGCTTGGGATTTCAGGAGACAGACTGATAACGAATCAGACTGGGGAAGCAAGCTCAGGTTCTTACCAGGGTCGCAAAACATGTCGATGATGTCCATCGAATCGAGTTCCTGGAACAACGATTACGCTATCCCTTACCCCACCTGTTTCCATCCTTCATCTGTGGATGAGATCTCGGAGTGGCAAGACCGGATGAGGTCTCAAAAACGAGAGTACCTTTTCGCCTTTGCGGGAGCTCCAAGACCTGAGTATAAAGACTCGGTTCGAGGGAAGATTATAGATGAATGTTTGGAGTCAGATGATCAATGTTACTTGTTAGACTGTAACTATGGGAAAGTGAATTGTGATAACCCTGTCAATGTGATGAAGGTTTTCAGGAACTCGGTGTTTTGTCTTCAGCCACCGGGAGATTCTTACACGAGAAGATCCATGTTTGATTCGATATTGGCGGGTTGCATCCCTGTGTTCTTCCATCCGGGGACAGCTTACGCTCAGTACAAGTGGCATTTGCCCAAGAACCACAAGACTTACTCGGTTTATCTACCAGTTAAGGATGTGAAGGAGTGGGATATCAAAATCAAGGAGAAGTTGCTTGAGATTTCAGAGGAAAGAGTTGTGAGATTGCGAGAGGAGGTGATAAGGTTGATACCCAGTGTGGTTTACGCTAATCCGAGCTATGGATCAGAAGGGAGTGAAGATGCATTTGAGCTGGCTTTGAAGGGAATGTTAGAGAAGATTGAACAAGTGAGAGAGATGATGAGACAAGGCAAGGATGGTGGTGAAGGGTTTGATGATAGAGATGATTACAAGTATACATTTTCTCCATATGAAGCTCAAGTTTTGACATAAAGATGAAATTATGTCATTGTGTCTTTTTAGTTTATTTAGGTAGAGATGCAACTTGTTTGCTCTAGAGTGAAAACAAGAAAGAACAAATAAAAGAAAAGCTATTTTGAAACAAAAGATGATCTTTGAGTTTTATTCAGCAATTTTGGTTAACTTCACTGATATTTAAGCATCTGGTTTGGACTTTTGTAGTGTGGTGTGAAGATGATTAAATACTCCACAAACATAATGCAAAAGAAAATAATTTAAAAAAATAAATCCGTAGACTCCTCCAATAGTAGTGTCTGATTTAGTTGAAGTAACAAACCGGTAAATCCAACCGAAAATAATTGATCTGATAACCAATTTATATCTTAATAATATAGACTAGGTGACTGGTCCGCACCCCTATGAAGGCATAAAAATATTAGGCCAGTTCAATCTGGATTTCGGTTCAGTTTCAGTTTGATTTCGGTTTGTTTCTTTTGTTTTTCGGTTTTTCGGTTTTAGTTTATAAAAATTAGCTATCATATTGTAATCATATCTAATTTGGTTTGGTTCAGTTTTTATACTACCAATTTTTTTACTCGGTTTTATACCATAAAAAAAATATTTTATATTTGGTTTTATATTATATGAATTTTATATAGGTATATTGTCAAAACTATCATTTATTATAAAAATCTTGGGTATTTATAAATAATGGAATGTCAAAAAATAACAAACAAAATGATAAATGACAGTTTTTTGAAGTTCTTCTTGTCTTCTATGTTATTTCAAAGAAATTTCATGTTACTCTCTAATTTCACAAATTTTTAACGTATGCAAAATTTAATTAAATCAAATCTCGATAATATTCAAAGAAAAAAATAAAAATAATAAGACATACCTTCACTCTCAGTTACTCAACGTCAAAAAGAAAAAAGAAAGTGAAATAAAAAGTCTATTTCAAAAGAATAAAAAGTTTAAGAACTTTAAGCTACCGTGAGTAAATATTTTATTGTTAAGTGTTTTCTAAATTAGAAATTTTTAATGTAAATATATATGTTATTAATTATTAACATAAAATTAACTTATAAAACAAATCAATTATCATGAATCGTTACATAATATATATATTTATATGTTTTTACTTTTATTGGTTTTGTTCGGTATATTTGGGTTAATCGGTTATAAACCTAACCATATCTAAATCCTATAATTTTTTTTATAAATTCATATCCATTCGGTTTATATGGTATATATCATATCTAATCCATATTGTCTATTTCGCTTCGGTTCCATTCGGTACGGTTTAGTATTACCATATTGAACAGACCTAGAAAATATCCAAAATATGGAAAAGTTAATTGTGTTTAGTTTTAGAAGTTGCATATTTTATATTATCATTATGTAAAATTGTGTGGTTCTGTAACTGTATATTTTGGGTGCAATATTCTACTTTTTTTTTTTATAGAAATAGCGATATATCAGATTGTTAAACAATAGAAAATTCGTAACATAAATAAAATTCGCCACTTAGGTTTTCATATTTTGCGTGAAATATGATAATATTTTACTCCATGTGTCTTTTACATGGTTTTAACTCTTTGACATAAAAAACTTGTTTTTGGGGGTTGAACCATTGCCATATAAGGAGTTTATTGCTTTCAATTGTTTGGCAATGTCTTTCACTAAGTTCCACCCGATTGTGTTAAAACATAAATAAACAAAAAAATTAAAAAACAATTGTTCGTAAAATAAAAATAGATTTGTATTGTAAGACATTGGAGGTTTCCTTTATATATAATCTACCTTCCACGTTTGGGACTTATTAGCGTAATATTTATTTGCCTTATAATAAAACGTCGGAAGATATGTACATTATTAACATCACGAAAGAATTTAGAGAGAATGCAGTAAAGCTTAATTGCTATAATTTTGTTGGTAATAATTGCATATATGAATATCACAAGCAAATATATCACAAAAGAATTAATACATAGATTAAAGCCAATCACAGAATAGTTTAGAGAAATAAATTAATGCTAAATTGCTATAGTGTGGTTTGAAATAATTGCATATGAACTATCGCAAGCAATATATAACATAAAAGAATCGTAGCATTTAATGAACTAACTAATTATGAACATTTAGAAAAATTATATTTATCACATTGTCATTTTAATATTCAAATATAGTAATATATAGTAGTAATACTTATGTTCTTTTTTTTTTGAAACACAGTAATACTTATGTTCATTAATGACTAAAACTAATAAAGATCAGTACCTAAACTAAAGATAATCACGAAACAATTTAGAGAAAGAATTACAGTTAAATTGCTATGCTTAAGTTTGCAATAATTGGGTATATGAACTAAAAGTAAAAAACTATAAGGAAATAACATTTAATAAATTAAGTAATATTCAAATGTATTGTTTTAGTTACAAATGTATTTGTTTAGTTACGAATTATGGACTAAGTAATAAGGAAGCCTACTTAGATTTGCCTATTTCTTGTGCTAATAAATTTTAAGTTGATATATGTCAATTAAATGTGTATTTAATGAATGTCCTGGAGACTTTTAAATGGGTTTAAAAATAATGTTTAATAAATATTTTTGTATAATCTAAATCTGTTGAACAATTCTATTTTATCACTTATATTTTATACGGAAGAATTTTTGATAAGCGATTATATTTTTGGGTTATAGTATTATGAGATTGAATATATTTTGGTGATATAGTAAAATATAATTAACAGTAATCCGCATACTTTGAATATAAAAATATAGTTAACATAAAGCATTGTGCAGTGCTCTCTCTATCTCATCAAGCGTCTACTTTTGCACCTCTCAAGATCGTGGAGACCACGTTTGTGTCATACATAATCTGGAGTTTTGCTTGCATCATCATGTATGTCATAACACATTTATTACCTCCTTCAAAGGATGATGAATATAAAAAAAATATTGAAAAATGATTTTACCCCGGTTTTTAAAACTAAATCAGAGCTCTTAATGATTTTATAAGCAAATGCAAGTGTGTTAACAGACTCAATCTGTTTGAATGTCTATACATGAGCATGGCTCTATGCAGTAGACTCCAACAGCAAAAAGTATTCACAATAACTGCACACAACATCATGACATTCATAACACAATTTTTTTCAAGAGCCTACAATTGAAGGAAATGGAATCATGAAGCTTACAGTTTCAAGCACTTTGACTTCTGGCAGTTACGTCGCTTACATGATTCTCCTTCCCTAGCTTCCACCTTAACCATGTGTGTTTTCAAACTGAAACAGTTATCAAAACAGAGATGACAGATTACTTTCTCTCGAGACAAACAAACGTACCTCTTCTTCTTAGAGCTGCTCAATGCAACGCTTCCAAGATTGGTTCAATGGGAACATCTTCCAAGGTTTCAGTTTGGTCCAATGTTTTTTGCAGTGTAGAGCTTGATCCCTATAGACCAACTTGATACTTCTCAAAACACGAGAGTAATCATAAGTGGTATTGGTTTTACAGTCCTTTGTTATTAAAACAAATTTTAGATGAAAACGAGGATCCACAGCTGCAGTGTTATTCTCACTGAACTTATTCTCACCGGACGTTTGCCTACTCCCTGGCATCAAGATAACAAAAACACAAGAACACTGAATGTAAGTATATTCATAAAAAATGACCTTTGACGAATTTTTCAAGCTCTCTTGGATCGTTTAAAACAATTTGGACACCTATTGAAACCCTAACAATCCAGAGCTGCTACCATACAAAACCAAGACTTTATATCATCTATAGAAACCCTAATTCCAAAACCCAGTTAAAATCAAAGGGGATATATGAAAAGAATCCAAAAACCTTGTTATCATCGTCAAAGGAATCCCATACGAACCCAACAAAAACCGACGAAGGTAACTTCTGATCTCCCATACAGAATCGGACGAAGCATCTGAGAATCGAATCATTAAGAACAATGGTGTTGCAAATCTCTGGCGGCAATAGGTGTTCCACAAGAGAGGGGTTGAAGAAAGATAAATGATTAGTTTAACAAACGATAAAAGCCTAACTCTTCTTTAGTTTCTGTTTTCAGTTGTTTGAGAATGTATTTTACTAAGTTCTAGATGTAATGCTCGGTTGTGTTTAAAAATAAATATAAAAGAAAAAAATCAACCAATGAAATTATAAGGATTTTAATCAAAATGCTTGTATGAGTGTCACGTCATCAGAAGTCAATAAAGTGACTTCTCATTTAATATAAAGGGGGATTACATATATTCACCTTCCATAAACATTATTTATGAAGTATACTCAAGGTTGAAGAAGATGATGTCTACACATAACCGAATATCGCAAAGACTCAATATTTCTCAAAACATTCTTCATCTTCTACGGTAGTTGATCACAAGAATGTACCTGTCATAAGGAATTTGAATCAGCTCCTTATGTGATGTGATATTTGTCTAGGATGTGAGGAATCTGATGAATTTATAACCCATCCTATCTTCGAATATCTACCAATACTTTAGGGTAAGCTCTAGCAGCTACACTTCTCAGTGTCCAACATATACATTATCATGGATTATCTTATCTAGAAAAGAATAATAATGAAAATCTACAGATGGACATAGATCTTTATCTACGGATAATTTAGTATATCTTAAAAAAAACGGAATGCTAAATTATTTAGAAAGATTGATAGAAACCCACTTGAATTGATTGGATATGCAGAATGAGAATATCAAGCATTATTCATGGCAAGTAAACCAATTTTTGATTTGACTCAAATAATAGTAGCAACATCTCAAGTCTTACACTCAGAGAATATATGTTTATTATACATCAATCTTTAGTGGATGTGAAAAGCTAACACTGAACAAATACAATTTTATGGGTACAAAAAATCAAAAACGAAGAGAATCCACATTATATTCGAAGTTGGAAGCCCTACACTGGGAAATGGAAAGAATGATGTATCATTCAACCTGTCAGCACTTTGGACCGACTGTAAAAACTTTATAGCGATGTTAAAGGAAACTCAAGCGTTGCCCAATTTCTCGATTGAGTTGAAGTAAATACAAGAATTGAACGGATATCCTACATTCCTCGGACACAAAATGAGACTGTAGATTTCTTAAGTG